AGCTTTTTTAAAATATTCAAGTTAGCTAAAAAGAATATTGAAGTTGAAATTTTAAAGATTTTGTGAAAGTAATTGTTTTAGGACAGCAATTTTACCTGAATTTTTTTTTGGAGAAAGTTGAAATTTGTATAAATACTTGCCGTTCAAAATTAATTTTCAAATCATTATTTAACATGCAGGCTTTTAGACAATTTTCGGTTGAATCAAACATTAAATAAGAGCATTTAAAAATTTCTAAACATGAATTTAAATTGGGAAAAAAAGCTGAGAGTGTACGATTAAAAAATTTTGTTTCTCTTAATATTTGTCAAATAAATTTTCTAATATTGGTAAATACTAGGGGTAAATTCAGCATTTATTTGGGGAAACTATTTATAACCAAACAGTGTTTTATATTAGTGCCAAAAAAAACAAGTTGGCATATCTAAAGGGGCAGAGAGGTTAAAGACAACAAACTGCTGCTACTCTTATAATACTCCACTCTGTTTTGCTAAAGGCAGCTGCTGGGCACAACACTGTTCTCTCAGTGATCAACAATTTGAAGTACGGTATGCTTCCTCTGTTTTTTTCTTCAACCTTTTTTTTTAATGACATAGTGGGTAGGGGAAATGGTATCGGGAAGGGGATTACAAGGTGGGAAATTGAACTCTCGGTCATAAGGTGAAAGTTCAGGTAGTAAACCAACTAGAGCTACTAAAGATCCCGTTTTCCAACTTTAGTTTTTCAACTATATGTAAGGAGTCATCTTCACTTTGTAAATGTATACATTTCTTGAATTCTTTTTCTTCCCATTTTAACTATCTGTTGGTTGAGATTTCCTGCTGTGTTTCCAACTTTATCATTGTTGATTTGTTTCTCAAACATTACATATTCATGTAGTCTTGCTTAGTGGCAGCCATAAATGCAGATTTTTCACCAAAAATGTTCATCATCTATTATATACTATGTATTAAGAAATATTTATCTGGTATATATAAAAAAAAGTATAAGGGTCTGAAAAATATCCCAACTTTGGTCGGATTTGTTGTTGCGATACTAAACTTTCATAAGGACCTATTACCTCCCTACACTATTTAATATACCTTTAAAATACACTATTAAATAGTTCAGGGGTAAAAAATACGGTATTAAATAGTCTAGGAAGGTAATAGGTCCTCATGAAAGTTTAGTATCGCAACAGCAAATCCGACCA